CCGTGTCCAAAAGCTGGTGAGCAGAAGTGTGGGTGCACGAGGGGCTTTCCTCAGGCAGCACGAGCCCCACGCTGCCGCCTCGAGAGCTCACCGTACCTGCCTGGGTCACAGGCACTAACAACCGCGTCCCACGGGCGTAGCTGTAGCTTGTTGGACACCGGTGGATGCTTCCCAGAAAGCGAGAAAGGCAAAAGGATGGAAAAAGCAGGTTCAGTGGATCTCCTTACCTTTCTTCACCTTCTTTTCCTCGTCTCCTTCTCCTGCACCCAGGAGAGTGAAGATGATTCCCGTCTGGGAGTTGATACCCACGGCGGTCACCACCATCCTGCCGGAGCCCTCCATCACATGGGTACCTGGCACAGCGGGAAGGATGAGATGAAATGGGATGCGACCATCCCTCCATCCCAGCACAAACCCAGCCCGGCGCCCGCCACGCCCCAGCTGCCCAGACCCTCACCCGACAGCAGCATGGGGTCTTTGTCCAGCGATTTCTTCACTTGGTCTGACTCCCCGGTCAGAGAGCTCTCATCTATTTTCAGGTCATTGCCCTGGATCAGGATCCCATCTGCTGGCAAGAGATCACCTAGGAGGGGAGCAGAGAGGGGCGTCAGGGTCAGCCCCAGCAGCCACAGCTCGCCCCTGCCTGCCCCAACCTGGGAAGAGGCTTCAAGTGTCAGCAAAAGGACTCAAAATTCAGCCTCAGACCAAATCTAGAGGGAGGAGGAGCAACAGATGGGTATCATAGGACAGATGGGTATCGTAAGATGATCTCCAATAGCTCCAAAATCTTCACTTAATGTACAAAAGCTTTCATCGTGAGGACTTTTACTCCATCAGACAGGGCTTCCCCCATCTGCATCAACACCACATCCTTCCCGAAGACTCCCGGTACATCCCAACTGTTACACGAGCCCATCGTCCGCCTGCCGAGGAAGGAAGAAGCCCTGGGTGAAAATGAACACCAGGCTGGAGCAACCTCCTTCCTGATGGGAATTGCACAGGATGGGCATAACCCTGGTGAAGACAGAGCAGGACCTCCTTCAGCCCAAGGGCAGGAGATGTTCACCACCAAGGACGTGGTTATGAAAATTCATAATTTTTGAGACCAGCAGGTCACTAAAGCAACCCCAAGGTGTGTGCAGAGCCTGGCTTAGCTCCAGCCAGCAGCAAGGTCAGGGGAGCATCTCCCATCGCTCCCAGCCATGGAACACTGCAAAATGGAGCAACCGCAGGAGCCACGATTCCCTCGAGGCAGAAGGGCTGGAAAAGCAGAGAGGAGGGACAGCCAAGGCTCCCGAGGTGGGGGGACAGAGCCCAGCCGCTGTCGCCTGCACTCACCGTACTTGATCTGCGCGATGTCTCCCACCACGATCTCGGCCACCGGGATCTGGATCACCTGCCCTTTGCGGATGACCGTGAACTTCTGCTCCTGCTCGATGCGGCTCTGGAGCCCTCGGAATTGCTTCTCTTTGCTCCAGTCATTGAAAGCCGTCACCAGCACCACGATGATCACCGAAAACAAGATAGCCGCCCCCTCGATCCAGCCAGCCTGCGACTCGCCCTCGTCCTCCACGCCGCCCTTCGACTGGCCACACACTGCGGGCGGACGGAGAAAAACACGTTTGCACAACCAGACACCCGCCTTCCCCCGAGCAACACGTGCAAGCAGAGCCTGGAAGCCAGTTCCTCCTCCCTGAGCTGGTCCAAGGGCTTCCCCTGCTCTCAGGAGAGAGTTTTTTCCACCCTGGAGGCATTTGGGGTTTGGCTTTTTTTTTTTTTTCCTTTTTTTTTTCACTTTTCATTTTTGGCAGAGGTTGGGCTGAGAGAACCGGGACAACTGGTTTCTATTTCCAGTTGCAGCACCCAGCCCTCCCTCCGCTGCGTGACCCTCGTGTGAGTCACTGTCTCCTGCACCTCCGGGTCCCTGCTCCCGCTCGACTCCTCCAGCGATGCCGAGACCCAGGGCTGGGCAGGGGACATTCGCCTGGTGCTCCACCGCACATGGGGTGTCACGGTTGAAAGGAGCACCCCTGGTTGGTGGGGGGATACCAGGGGACAGCCAGCGTTGTCCCTCCATGTCCCAAACCCAAAGAGAAGCCCCATGGGACTTGGGAAGCCAGCAGATGGACCCCTCGGTCTTTGAGCATCTTTTGGGGGAGCAGCAAGAAGCAGTCCTGAGCCATCGGTGCCCAGACACATCCATCAGTGCCGGTCCCTGGACACGGATGGGACCATGCCAAGGACACCGATGGGACCATGCCAAGGACACTAGGGACAGGGAGAAGCCACCACCTGCTCCATCTGCACCAGGGTGGAGGGACCCATGGGGACCTTCCAGGATCCCAAAGCCCAGCGCACAGCGCTCACATGTGTCCCCCACTGAGCACGCCACCGTGCTGCGGGGACCATGGGGACCCTGGGGACTCACGTTCATTGTCCCCACCCGGGGGGTGGTAGAAGGACAGGCCCAGGGAGATTATGGCTGCAATTTCCAAGATGATGAGGGTGACGTCCTGGAGTGCCTCCCACACTAACTGCAGGAACGTCTTGGCCTTTTTGGGAGGAATGAAATTCTGTCCGAAGCCCTGCCGCCTCTTCTCCAGGTCCGTGGGGTTCCCGGACAGGCCTGGAGAGGGGAGAGATG